TGTTTTTAGAAATAATGAGATGACTACCTGATTCCTGGTCATACTTTCCAAACATTTAGGACTTTATCTGTGTCTTAACTTTTCTTAGATGTTGTTTGTACTGTGATGAAAATGTAGCTGCAGACCACAGACAGAGTAATAAACGTTATTCCAGAAAGAAGACATGAGACAAAATGGACTTTGCAGTTTCTGGGCAGGATTTGCTTTAAATGTTCAGCACAGTCAGGAAAAAGAAGTAGGAAGTGACCTTTTTGTTGGTCTCAAATGAAAATTAACTTGGATGAATTCAAGAGCCTGCTTGCTTGCGTTGTTCTCAGTCAGTAGCAGAGCTATAAAACTTAGAAAAGCATAGCCCCTTCTCAGCACTCCCGCTGTCTCCAGGTGATTGTAAAATATTTTGTAAAGTATTTTGATGTGTATTTGAGCCCTGCACTCTTCTTGTGTAAGTCTCAAAAACATGACAGGCAAGCACAGGGTAGCATGTCAAAGAAGATGGCCTCTGGAATTTTCCCAGATTTCTTCTGAACTATGTGGATGATTTCTTTAAACCATCTAGTCTTGTGTCTATTACTAGACCATCATCCATCATTTGGGGTGTGCATATGGGAACTTTCTGCATATGGATTCTCTGTGGGGCCCTGAGTGACTTAACTCACCAAATCTCCCTCAGTTCTGTGTGCTTAAAACAGTAAAAATGGGCTTTTCTCTGCATTCTGCCTATGAAAGGTTTTGGTGTAAACCTTCCAGTGGTCACTGCAATGTAGTGATAACCTTTTTTACTTTCAAAGTCTGAAGAAGATGGATGTTGTTGTCCTTTCAGCAGTCTCTAGTGGAGGAGGTAGTCCAAATGGGCCTCAGGCTGCTGTGGCCCCATGCTGGCCCAGAGGAGATTGCTGTGCTGACAGAGCTGCTGATGCTCCCCTGATTCAAGGAAGGGATAACCCATTATAGCTGCTGCTTGTAGTCTGCTTGTCTTTCTGCCTTCAGCTTGTATGTGGGATCAACACAGGGGTGAAGTGTAGAAAGACAACTGATCCTTCAGCAGTCTCTTATGAGAGGGGCTGCATTCCCAGTAGCATTAGGCAGGCAAGCATCTATGCTGCGTTTTTGAGATTTCTCATGGCTGATGAGTTTCAAGAGATACAAGGGCATGAAAAAACGTATGAGTTTCTGTTTGCGTAAGTTTAATGAGCCTTTACTAAAGGTTCAATGCATAGACTCCGACCTGTTTCACTTCAAGTGTCAGGTATGTTTGAACTTTAAGTGAAACATTAGCTAACACGTGTCTGGTTTTTTTCCTTCAAGAGGCCCAAAGTCTCCAAATATTTTCTGGGATGTGAGTCCTTATTGAGGTTTTTCATGACTAGATTTTGAGGACTTTTGTCTGTGTTGCTTTTATTATCTTAAAGCAAGTAGCAAGGCTGGATTCAGTCCATTGTGTGAGAGGGAGAATGTGTCTGTGTTCCCTGGAGCTAGCTGCCCTCTTGGAGGAAAACTTAAAATTTAAGGGAGATGTTTACTAAAATGCTAGCAAATTAAGATATTCCGGTGTCTGCTGTGGAGAGAACAGGAGGAGTGTGTGTCAAGTCTCAAATTGGTATACTTGGTGAAAAAGAATGAATAGCAAGCCAGTTTTTTTCCCCTGCAACCCCCCCCTCCCCCTGCCACTTTTTTTTATGACCCTTTTAAAGTTAAATAGGGAAGATGAACTGCTGGAAATTAAACTTCCTCACCTCAAGTGCAAAAGGGAAAGGGAACAAACATCTGTATCCTAAATGGACTGAAATCATTAGCTATATTAGAAGTAAAATCATGTTTAGGTGAGTATCCTCAAAGAGTAGGATCACTTTTTCATGATTGCAAAATTTGTAGGATTTCATCAAGAGAAACGATTGATGAAGCCGATTAGACACAGCTGTCATCCACTAAGTAAGCACTTACAAAAGTTAATAAAAATTTATCCTTTTTTCCATTTTGCCTGTTTTTGGAAAAGAACTTACTAGGTGGTATAGTAAAAGGGATAAAGCACACAACTGCATGTTTCTGTAGTTTTGTTATTACCTGTTACAAAATCACTACATCTGAAACATGCTGCTGGACATTGTCCACCTCTGCTCCATCCCTGTGTGAATGTTTTGGCGTAGTCTCCTGTAAACAGGATGTGGAACTGTTGGAGTCATGTTTGACTGCAGTTGTTGGAGTTTTGGAAAGTGTATGGACAAATTCGAGCTGCTTGTATAGCAAGTGTACATATGTGCAACCTTCCTCCTTTTCTTCTCCTGAGATGCCATTAATTTGATCTCTTTGAACTTGGTCTGAAAGACCAGACACTCTGGATTAAACATAACATGTAATACCGCCTTTTGTTTTTTGCTATTGCTGCACTGCTTTTCCTGTGACATTAATCTGGAATTGTTTGGAATAACCTTAGAGCCGACTAGTTTCTATGTGTTTCTTGGTAGTGCACGCACTATATGCAGAATGCTTTAATGATGCCTTACTATGCATGTTATTCTGGTTTTGAAAAAAATAAGCATTGTTCTGATGCAGATTTCAGACACAGACCCTGGAATATAAACCCTTCTGAAATGGAGACACGCTTGGCTGCTGAATCTCTAAATGGGATGCCTGAATGCTCTGTGACCAAGTAAATAAATATTTCCTCTTAGTTTCAAGAAACATGGCACACAGCTGCTCCTTACTCCTTGTTGTAAAATAACGGGCCATTTGCTGACTGAAGCAAGCCATTGACATTATTGCTAACAGCTGCTGAACTCTTAGCGTTAACTTAAACAGCTCATAAATGTTAATCATATTGCAGTTTTGTTAGAGCTTGTCTGCCTATCCCAGAGGCGCTAGCTATTATGGCATGCTTTTTTCCCCACATGAACTGATGACATTTCTTAGTGGAGATTCCAAATAGTAACTTGCTAAGTTCAGTAATTTTACTGTGGTGGTGGAAGTTTCTTCAAAACGGTGCTTTTAAATTACAGTTTTACTAGTATAGCTTTACTTATGTGTTTTAGTGGGCTCAGAGCTGCTGAGCATGTGATGGAATGAGTATGGAGTAGAAGGGAGTATACTGTCTGCTTACGGACCTGTTGTTGGGAGATCAGTGACAGAGTCAAATCCAAATCTAAACTGAAGAAAATCTGTGGAGTTCATCTGTGCTTTGGTTTAAAGTAATTTTCGTATTGTAATGGTTTTGCTGCCCTACAAATGTGAAAAGTTTACAGGAAATGTTTATGGGCTGCTGTAAAAATGTATGTTATCTGCATAATAAGCAATTAAACAATGTTCTGTAGCCTTTTAATGGTCCCTCCCACTCTTCAGCCAGTGGGGATGGGTACTTAAAACCAAGACAAAGCTCTCAAACAAACTAATCCTTTCCTTCCTTCAGGTCAGATTGTGCTAGTGTTCTCTGTAGAAAACACTGATAAAGTTCCAGAACCTGTTTTTGAGACTGTCAAAATGATTGTGAATATAGCACAAACGAAAACATAGATAATGAAGTAAAAGATACTCTATTATTGTGGAGGTATAACTTTTTGATTTTAATCATTGTGAAGGTCAGAAAGAGGACAATGTTGTTGCTAGTACATGCCATATAGAGAAATTATGCTTACAGTGTCTAAAAGCCATTCTGTCATCCTTACTCTTAAGTGGTCATCCAGTGGAACTTTTTCTCTCTAGGGCAATGGTATATGTGTACCAGAACTGTACTTTGTGCTTAGACAATATGCTCCCTACCAAACTCGTTGAAATTGCAGTTAGTCTGAGCTTCTGGTATCAGCCTGTGATTACAGGTTAACCTACTGACGATGCAACCATTCCCATACAAAGCTATATGCTCTCTGCTGTGTATCTGGATGGTGCTTTGGTTGTGTGGTTCCTCTTCAGGATTCTCTCCTGGCTGCTTGCAGAGGAATTTCTGTTCCTGAAGAGGTGTGCAGGACAGGGACAAGTGTTGCAGACTGATGTTAAACAGATCCTATCCTGTAAGGTGGGAGGTCCCAGCTTGAGCTGGAACCTCTTGGGCTTTATCAGATAGACTTTGTGCAAGCAAGTATGGTTTTGGGTGAAGAAGATCAAAACAGTACTGGTTGGTGTTTTTTTCTTTTTTGCGGGGTGGTTAAAGTATGAAACTAAGGCTATATAAGGCTAACATCACACTATACTGAAAACTGTGAGCAAGGGTTTGATCTCAAAACATTCAGTCGTCTTAATTCCAATGACAGAATTAAATATCACTCTTCAAGTAGGTGGATGTGAGAATTGTTTTCTGGGCTTCCTCCTAAAAGCCTGGAGAAAGATTGGATACTATACAATCTACTAGCTTGTGGTTAGTAATGAAACAGAAAATTCTCTGGGAAAGTAGAGGGGACTCCAGATTGTGTATGTGTGGTTCAATTATAATTACATTACTGATGTTTTGGGAAAAATATGATTGCAAAAATAATTCCAGATTTTTTAAAGACTTTAGAGCTCACTTATTTCTACAGAAGTGATGTAGTTCATTACAGCTAGTATGACCATCCAACTATCAGTTCTAGTCCCATCTTTTCAGTGTTTTTTCAGTGAGTTTTTAATTTTTGTTTCTTTTTTCCTTTTATTTTTCTTCCAATGGTCCAGCTAAAAATTCTACTGTTGTCCTTTAATTCTGCCCGATCTTCATTCATGTCTCATGCAGCAAATAGAGACAGCTTGCTGAGATTAGATACTTTCACATATCCAGAGTGGTACTTAAATGAAAAAATAAAGAAGAAAATGCCCAAATTGATTGAATATCTCAGTGATGACTCCAAGTGCCTTGTTTTGAGTCTGAAAGTAACTTTCCTGTGCTGCATCCTCAAACTGACAGAGTAGAAACATACTCAAATAATTGAGCTCAGGAAATGAATGAAGAAAATGGTGACTTGAAGAACTGAAATATTGAAAGGTAAAAAAAAAGTTGTCAACAGTATTAATAATACTTTTTTCTTTTTTTTCTCCTCTTGCAGACCTTCAAGTGCTGACCTTCTTGGTCTATTAAGTTATTATAAACTTTTGCTGCTCTGCGAACATATAAAGATGTCTCGCAGCCCTGATGCTAAGGAAGACCCTGTGGAATGCCCTCTTTGCATGGAGCCTCTGGAAATTGATGACATCAATTTCTTCCCTTGCACCTGTGGCTACCAAATTTGTCGTTTCTGTTGGCATCGTATCCGCACTGATGAGAATGGACTTTGTCCTGCTTGCAGAAAGGTAAATTCCTGGAACAGCGTCTTGTCTTGCATATGTCACAAGGCTTCTTGCATTGTGTTGGTACCAAAGACGTCCTTTTCATTAAGGGAAACACTCATCTAGTCATAGCCTAGATCAAGGGTGAGGTGTTGGATCTTTCAGATTCTGTCTGCTTATGTGTTGAAGCATAAGTGGCTAGTCTTGGTTTATTAAATTCAGAACTGGATTAATAGGAGAAGCTGTGGGTCAGAACCAAAGTGTGCTGATACTGAGGGAACTGCCAAAAATAAAAAAATCTTTTGAGTTGGGGTGCTCATACATTAACAAAGTCTTTTCAGGAAGAACAGTGAGGATTACAGGGTTTGCTGAGGGGTTTGCTGAAGGCTAAGGTTTAGCTAAATTGACCGAGCTAGCTGACTGAGGTAAGCTTGTAAAGCACCTGCTTGTTGTGTTTGTGGCACTGGAGCCTTTAATCTGTATTTTAGTGGATACTAAACATGTAAAACTTTTGGAAAAATATCCAGTGGTATTAAACTTTAAAGCATTTAAAAATTTAGACTGAGTCTATATGTCTAGTATTCTGATCTTGTTGCCAAGTGCTTGAAGGTAGTACTTAATTTCCATCTGTGTCTTGATGTCTGGCTGATGCTTTGGTTGGCCACAACTGTAAATCTCAGCTTCACTAAGTTGCCTGTTATTTCCTTTGAATTATTTTATCCCTCCTTTTAGTGTTATCCTTAACTTTCTAATTTCCTTCAATGTTTAATAAATTCTTTCTCAATATCTTCTTGTCTTTAATGACTTCTCTTGATTGTAACTTTCTTGCCCGGCCTTCATCTTCTTGTAATTGCAGCTGCTTATGTCTCCCCTTTTTCCTGATGTTTAATCGTCATCCTGTCCTCAGTTTATGCCTTTGTCTTCCTGTCTCACGTTACAGCTCACTTTTCAGATCCCAAGTAATCTTACTTGGTCTCACTACCTTTATTCACTGCCGCAGTATTCTTTAAGCACTTCCAGTCATATTTTCTTGCTGTTCTTTTGGGCTTTGGCTACACTAGAGTTATCACTGCTAACCTGTGTTTGGATGCCTCTGCAAGCCTGAAGGCTATCTCACACCGACATGTTTGTTAAAAAGTTCTGCAAATTTGCTGCGATATTTCAGCTCTATTCTACAAGGAAGATCTACGTGTCATCAGCCAAATATTTCTCCACATGTGATACCTGCTGTAGGTGACACATGCTGTATTAGTAATTTCCACAGTACAAGCGAATTTCTACTCTTCTGGTACAACATGAGATTTCGAATTTCCTTGTTTCTGCAAATTGCTTCATTTACCTGGATTTATTATGCTGATTTATTATGCTATTTTTCACCTGTTTGTTATTGGAAGTTTGTGGAATGTATTTGAAAAATCAAAGAAGCAGCATGATTCACTGCCTCTGGATATCTGAATTCTTTGAAACACGGATACTGCCACAGCTGAACTTTTAAATGTGGAATACTCTGGCATACGATTGGATGTGCGAATACTTTGACAAATTGGATACAGTTTGCTTAGAAAAACTGTTTCATGTGGAAAGCTGGAATGAGTGCTACAATTGGAGTAAAGCATACAGACCATTCCAGGAGTGACAGGAGACCTCTTCTTTCACAATGAGCTACCATTATGTTCTTGATACGTTCTTTATCCACCAAGTGCAAGATATTCTTGAACAGACTTGCAACTATATCACTGGATTGTAAGAAGTTGACTTGAAGGCTGAGGGAGGACACTTCTTTCATGGCATAGACAAAGACATTGTGATGCGGATGCCACCAGGATCTTGGAAATAAATAATTTTGAGCTACAGAGTTGCAGCATTAAATAAGCCACCTTTTGAAGTGTGCAGGACAAAAGGAACCAGGTATGTGTATTTGTGTTCTATGTGTCTAAATAGTTCCTGTCTGTGTGTAGTAAGGCTTCTGGGAAAAGATCTGAGCAGTTTTTTATTCGTATCTACTGTAATGCATGTTGGTTATGACCACTTAAAATGCTGAAGCACAGAACATGGCAAAGCAACAAAATTTGAGCAGGAAAGTTTATAGTAGGTACAATGGTTTCAACAGGTATGTCATATTTTTATAATGTGCATACCAGTGCAGGATACTTACTGGACGGACTGTGAATAAACATATATTAAAACAAGGCTGAGTATGTTATTCACAATTACATAATAGAAATCTGCTATTTGTGCCTATGTTATTGAGCACAGTGAAACTTCTCCAGGGATTTGAGAAGCAGTCTATGGAGAGGAGCAATGAACAAGTTCCCAGTCCAGGGATTTTGGTTGAAGGGTTTTAGGGGAGATTTTGGACAAGTCTGTGACAAAATAGTTTGGCTATATGCTGTAGTGGCACCTATGCCATTAGTTTGATAGATCTTAACTGTGCATTGCATATATACCACTATTTTGCTAAGCTTCTTTAATGTGTGACTGAAAAGATGTTAGCTTATGTTTTTTTTCTACCAAGGAGAAAGTACATCTACATGAACTCTTGCAAAGCTTAACATGTTCATGTGCAGAATGTGTTCATGTAGTTGCAGTCAACTGATTTAGTCCATCTTAAGTTTCCTTGTGTGAATAGCGGTAGTACACAAACATTTGCTTTGTTTTGGTTTATGAATGTAAGGTACTAGTATGAATTAAACTTGAATGCTGGTTGGAAACTGGTACTTCTTAGTGTTAATGTATTAAAAGCTTTCTAAACTTTGTCTGAATCTTTTGAAATAGACTGGGAAATTGTTTTTATTCGATTCATTAACTACAAAAAATATTTAATTAAAAAAAAGAACTGTCTTGCTTTGAGGTTTTGATACCTTTCAGAATTATAGGTGTAGTCAATTGTAAGATGCTAAGCAAGCCTTCCTGTTTTTCCCAGTCAATTGATTTCTTAACTGTGAGTGAAATAGTCGCTAACTACTCAAATTAGAATGAAACATATGCGTTCAAAAGAGATTTCTGTAACCAAAAGCTGGTTTACATGTCACAGACTTGCTGGTTCTGGTTATAAAGCCAGAGATTTTTATACTTAAAGTGATATTTCTGTTTTCTTTTCTTTGAAATTCAGTAGCCTAGGTACTGTTTGTGATGTGAATAACACATACCATTTCACTTGCTTTATTAGAGCATAGCACTCTCAGACTTTAGCGTCTGTTGTTGCACTTTTTAAATCCAGCAATAAAAAAGCTCAGCTCTTTGATGTTTCTTAATTGCTTTGCTCTTCCACCAAACAATAGAATTTGATACACAGTTGTTCCTGCAGTGTGGCTTTGCCTTTTGCTCCAGTTCCTTGACTTAGGAGCTTTATTTCTCCTAGTGCCTTGTGTTAGAGATGGGGATAAATAGTAAACTGCTACATGTATGACCAAGAAATTAACATGCTTTATGCATGTCTTTGTCTATATTTCTACTACTACTACTGTGTAAAAGGAACACTTCGTCTTAATGCACAGTTTCCAAATGCCACTTGTTTCCTCTGGTGCTTTTAATCCCACAACTGAGTAGTTTAGTGCAACAATGGATATTTTGAAATGGATAGGAAATTGCATTTTTTTTTTTTTTGTTCTTGATATAAGTACTATGGTGTATACTATGCATAAACCTTATTGACTTTCTCTGCATTTCTCATTTCAGGACCTACTCGGTAGCAAGGCAACAAGTGGGAAATATTGGTACATCCATTGTGTGGAAGGAATGTGACCCATCTGGGAATGGCAAAAGCAAAGTGCTTGATAAATCCCAGCTCAGCTTTCAACACTTGGGAAATAGGGAAAAAAGTCTGAAAGAAAATAACTTAAATGACAAGACAAATATAGTCAGGAAGACCAAGAATTCATCAAGGGCCATCTCTGATTAAAGAAATGAGACTTCAGAAGAGACATTGAAACTTTTGCTGAAGTTCTTGTAGGACTACCAGCAACTTGCAGTTAGTGTAAACAAAATCTGGTCACCTTTCATGATGGCACACTTGTTCAGGTGGCCTCTGAGGTTTTTGCTGAAGAGAATTTGCATAGCTTAAGTGGAGGGTGTCAGCTAAACTTAGTCAGTGAATCAGTGGTGTTGACATCTCTTAATGTCTTGCATCTGAAAATACATAAATGCTGATAACACTTGATGTAGCTACTTTGTTTGGATCTCAAATCCTCTCCCAGCTAAGGCATCAGTGGTAGGAGGTTAAACAAGCATTTTGTTCCCAAAATATAAAAAACATGAGCATGTTAGTAGCATTGTAGCGTTAGACACAGAGTAAACAACAGACAGTGGTACTATGGGATACGCCAGTAGTCAATCCACCTTGCTTATCTTTCAGTGATGTTCCAGCAGTCTTCACTGCATGCATCTGTTTGTAGTTGAACCATTATCTGTGTTCATGAACTTCAAAACTGTGGGAAGCACTCACTCTGAAGACGAAATCATTTATTTTCCTGGTTTTAGGCTGACTTTGTCCTTCTTTGAAAAGAAAATGATTTCTAATGCTGAAATGTTTGTCCTGTGCTTACCTGCCTTCCCTCCTCTTCAAATGTACAATATCTCTTAATCTGTTACCATGTCACACATGATATATCAATAGGAAAGACATGTATCATTTCTTACAACTGTTTCTAATTTGTTCTTTGGATTCAAGATGTGCGCACAGATTCATTTACAGGTCCTGCAAGTCAGGATATCCAACTAGTCATATTCCTTAGAAACGTTAAACATGTCAGAGTGATAAACACATGAAACATTTAAAATATAATACAGCTTAACTGTACCTAGTGAGAACTTTTGATGATTCTGTTGGTCAAACAAGTGCTGTTAGCCATGTGGCAAAACATGCTTGAGCTACCCAGGATGTTTCCTGACTCATGCTCAGGACCTCCAGTAGAAAATAGCTGTACAGAGAAGGAACATACTGTCTGACTTGCTTCTCGCTTGAGAATATGCTCTGAATGGGGATATACTTGGCAAGAAAGAAGCTGATGAACTTTGGCACTGTTTGCTATAGTTTTCTTGGTGTTAAATTGGTCATTGGTGTTCATCAAGTACATTGTGACATCTCTGTAAGGTAGTCAGTGTTACTTCGAAATAGCATATCTTTTTGAGAAATGGTATGGCTTTGACTGTTCTTCAAGGATAACTTGACTGCTTATTGTGTTTTCATGTTAAGGACACCTTTAGCTACAGCTGAAGTACCTTAAAAGTTTAAATTCCTTTGTGATGCTAAAAACATGTTCCGGAGGACTTGATGTTCAGCTGTGAGATGCCATCTGCTGAAGTCAACTGCAGCATATTTTTGGTAGATGTCACAAATATGGCATAATGATGCTGAACTTTAAGCTGAAAAATGAACATCAGTTTATTTGAGGATGTACTCAGAAGACTATCAGGGCTGAGTACTTAGTGACTCTTTGAGTAACATCATGCAACTATGAGGAATATATGCTTTTAACCTAAACCTTATTTTCATCTGCTGTTTAGATTTTTCTTAGGTTATTTAGTATGACAACTAGTTTTATACTCTGTCATTGACAGAGGGCAGTCAGGAAAAAGTTAAATTCATTTTTGTTGGACTTGCACACTGAAACCTTTGGTTATGGTAATGCAAGCAAAGACCTTAGTTCAATATACTGATGAGCTTGAGCTTAACTTCTTTATCTTAAGTCTTTATCTTAATGCACTTCTCAGGTACTCTTCTCATTTTTTACTTCATCTCAATGTTTAGAAACTCTTTTTTTTTTTTGAGATACATTTTTATGTACTTGCTTTTGTGCTTAGCATTGCTTTTTATATACGGTGTGAAATGTAACTTTTTAGTCTGAAAAAACTGGGACAGGTAAGGAATATGGGACTGCTTCGAGGACTAATCGGAGCAGAAGATGGTGCACTGTAGTCTGCAAGGCCAGTCTAAAATAGTGCCTTTATGGTAGTGCTCTGTGTGAGTAGAGCAGTCTTTGTAGGTAACTCTTAGGACTCTTGTACTTCTGCTAGATACTTTTGAGATTAAATTCTACACTGTTATGTTTGTGTTCGAGGAGTTATCTGTAGATGATAATCTTGAGGTTAAAAATGCACCTTTGTCCAGAGGAGAGAGACCAAATTTCAAACTGGTACACAGGCATGGCAAGATTATCGTTAAGTCAGTGTGCAGTAACTGTATTGACATCTGTCTCTTCACCAGAAGTTAACCATGTAAAGATTGAGCAGTGTAATGGTGTTACTGTCTTGCATTTGTGGGCCACTGAAACTACATTTGTATTTTATTTTCTTATCTGGCAGATTTAATACACTTAAGCATCCAAATCTGTATCAGACAACTAAATATGAAGTGAATATGCAGTGCATGCTTTCACCCAGCTTAGTATGCGCTGTTACTGAAATTTTAACAGGATGTGTTGACTGTCATGTTGCAGCTGCTTGTAACGTTACCAAATTGACTAGGCAGCTGGGTTAGAATGTGGCTATTGCCCAAATCAATATTATGTCTATAAATAGGAGAATTACATGAAAGATGCAAGATGTTCACCTTTCCCAAAGGACCGAATATGCCTATATAATGTGAGAGGCTGTAAAAAATCAGATCAGTATAACACAATAAAGAAATTTTTCCATTCAAACATCGGGGTTAATGATTTTCAAACGTATTGTTTCTTATATGGGTTGAGTTTAATGCTATTTGTTATGTTTAGCCTTACCCAGAAGACCCAGCAGTGTACAAACCACTCTCCCAGGAAGAACTGCAGAGGATAAAAAATGAAAAGAAACAGAAACAAAATGAGAGGAAACAGAAGATATCAGAGAATCGCAAACATTTGGCCAGTGTACGGGTTGTACAGAAGAACCTTGTCTTTGTGGTAGGGCTATCTCAGCGCCTAGCAGATCCAGAGGTAAATGGTTCACACTTGCAAATCTTGCTCTTAACATACTGCCATGAAACATTAGAATACCCTTGTTCTGTCTCCCTGCAGGGTATAAAACGAAGCAGCATTGAAAAGGTTCACTGCTTATGAGGCCCCCTCTTCTTAAGGAAGCTTACTCTGCTCTCTCCTCCAAAATAACTTCAAGTGTTTGTCTATGTTTTAGGGAGTACAGATGCTCTGCAATTTTTTTTTTTAATTTTTTTTTTTTAAGGAAGTTGTTCTTTGGGTAATAATGAGAGCTTGGTTTTAAGCTAAAAATGTGCTTAAGGATGTTTTAGGTAATCATTTTCCTAGGTTAGATCTGCTGGCACTACACAGCTGTATCATGCATCACAATTTCTAAAGCAGGAGCTCGGTTGTGTTCCAAAGAACTGATATAAAGTATAGCACAAACCTGTAGGGAGGGAAGAGAAAAGCTAATACTTGAAGTATAATATGGAAGGAACATAAGAGTGATGTCCTTAAGAAGCTGAGGGGGAAAAATGAATAAGAGGAAGACCCAGGAAAGAATTGGCTTGCTACTCCGCATCATCAAAAATTTCAGAAAACTGGTTGCGTTTAAATATTTATTTACTTCCATCATCAGTCAGCTGCAAGTGGCCAGTGGAATAAGTGCTAATGAGTAAAAGTATCTTGAATTAGAATACGGAGGAAGTGTAATACAGGATAAGATAGATATCTTCAAAATTACTGTACCAAGTTAAAGTCACATTATTGAACTAAATTGTCTAGGGAAAACTCAAACAGAAGTGGCTGTTTGAGTACTCAGAGAATGGTCTGTAGTTTGGTAGGCGGATAAAGAACAAAAGTAAAAAACTGCTTTTAGTGAAGAGGGGGGGAAAGGATAAGAAGGGAAGAGAAAAATCAAAGTTAAAAATGATCTGATGTATACCACTTCAGTATATACTAAAATATAGCATATACGAAAATATAGATAGTATATACTAAAATATATTTGCAAGCAGCTGTCAGCAGTGGCTTGGCACTATTTGTTATTGAAAAATGCATTTCATTTCTTTGACCAGATAGAGGATTTGTAAGAGAAATAGTAGTAAATGCAGTTAATTTTTTTTAAACCTCAGATAATTCCATACTGAATACTTGAAGTAACTCGAAGTGGATTTATTGGGGTGGTGGTGATGTGCTGTACTAGGTGTGTTGGTAGCAGTATTCTCAACAAAATACCAGAAGATATTGTGTACTTACTGAATATTGCATATAGCACCAAGATAACTTGATTTTCAAGAAACCTAGCCTGAGAGAGATGAGCTAAAAAAGTATTCAGTATATTCAATTTTTCTATTTAAGCAGGCAAAAAACTCCTTTGTAAGTAAAGATTGTTTGGAAGGGGAGGTTGGCTACTATTTGTCGTTTCTAGAAAGGAATCTGTGGATCCTCTTCTGTTAACTGGGTCTTAGAAAAATTGCAAAGGTTATGCTGTCATATGTTGTTATCAGGAGTGTAATCTGCAATATGCTTGAGTAAAGCAGAAGTTTCTTTGGGATTGTCAGTCTTTTCTGGAATGATACCTGGAGGATGGATGTAGGATGTTTCAAGAGGGTGTAGACCAAGTGAAGAGCAGTCAGAAGAGACCAGGGAATGAATGATTGTCTATACAACATATCCTGTAGTTCTACAGGATGTTCCAACTGTGATGCTGTTAGTTCTTGAAGATGTTGATGCTCCCTTTAGAAGGGAGAGGAGGTAGTTAGGTAAAGATGTTCTTGGATCAGGACAGTTTAACTGCGCTATCCAGTGTTAATATGAAGATGGAGCCGAGGAAACAAATCTTAAGTTATAACCTCTCAGGTTATTGTGTAGAACTGGAAATACCCTTAGCTTATCTAGCTTCAGTCTGAGTAGTCAGTACTTTTGGTACCTTCCGTCACAGGAATGGAAAAAGAAAGACCTTTTTGTATAAATGTGTCTGATATATTGCCAGTTTGTTTCATTGGCACACCAGGTGACCATTATTCAGCAGAGTTGTTTAACATGATGATGATATTCCTGCTTTGCACAGGATCCTTAAATGGTGTGTTATTACTAACTGATTCAGGGAAGGGCAAGACAGGAGTATTTTTTTCTTCCTTTAGGGCTGTGATATTCACTCATTTGTTTTGGCATGAGGTTGATTCTGAAATGTTTTTTTCTTGCCCCGGGAATTTTCCTGAATTGTCTTCCTGCACTTAGTCAGGTCTTTAGACAATTTGAGACTATCTTGAGCTAGTTGGTTTACTCTTTTTCTCTTTGGAGTGGGGCAAGTAAGTCAGGATTCAGCATTTTGTACCTAGTAATTAATATAGCTGAATGAAAGTTTAACGTGATGAATTATTTTGAAACTGGAATAAATGTGATTTTTCTTCCCCCCTCCTCAAATTATAAAATAGATAAATACAGAAATGTTTCATGCAGTATGGGACGTATCTTGCCAGGGTAGGGTTAGGGTAATTGGAGTACCGAAAGAGTTTTTTAAAATACAATATAAAATGTGGAATATCCATCATTAAAGTTCTGCAGTATCACCATACTCTGTATTGCAAGTAATCATGTTTTATGTGGGGGAAAAAAAATAAATTAAATCTACATGCTCTCCTCCTCTTTGTAGGAGAGATCTGGTTTTTTGCACAGTTTCACAGAAGACGGGTACATCTCTGTATGAATTTTAAGTATACCACTTTAAATTTCTTTACTTGTAGGTGTTGAAACGACCAGAATATTTTGGGAAGTTTGGTAAAATACACAAAGTTGTCATTAATAACAGCACGTCATATGCAGGCTCACAGGTAAGTCAGAGCCCCTTGTGATTTTTTTTTTTCTTTTTTTAAATTCCTTTAGGAAATAACATGGTGTGGAAAGTGAATCCAGGGCCCCCTATTTCTGATTAAGCAGTAGGTTAAAGACCGTTAAAAAAGCCCAAAACCAAACAACATTGCAAGAATCAAATTTCTTTAAGTTATTGAGGCATTGTCCAACAAGACTCTCAAAGTTGGATGCAAGATGCCATGTAGAAAGCTTGAAAATTGGGAGATGGTGAGAACCTTTTGAAGAAGCAGCAGTATGGCATTTATTCACTAATCTGCATTTTGGGGATAAAATGCCTATAAGCATTTTTAGAACTTTCAAGCAACATTTCAATGCATTTCTTCTTTTCTCCATTCTTTATGCCTCCCATATGAGTTTTTATGAATTCTACCTTTTTTGCCAGTTTCCTGTTAAAAGCATTAAGCCTTGAATATACCAGTTTATGCAGCTGAAAAGGCAACTTAATGATCAGATCTGTCTAGGGAAAGAAAAATATTAAATAGTGTATGTTTTCTTCCTAGGGTCCAAGTGCCAGTGCATATGTAACCTACATCCGGTCAGAAGATGCCCTCAGAGCCATACAGTGCGTCAATAATGTGGTGGTAGACGGCAGAACACTTAAGGTGGAAATGTTTTTACATTCTTACGTGTATGTTCTAGGACACTAATATCAGTGCGCAGTATAAAATTTTATTTGCAAAGATATGCCTGTGTTGCTGAATACGTGTATTGAATTTTGACCTCTTTTCCTAACACGAATCCCAACGTGGAAGTTCAGTGAGGTTCCAGCAGGCAATGTTTTGGTGTGTTAGCAGATAACTTCTTAAAACAAAAGTTTGAGACAGAGATGCACCACCTCTGCATTCTCGCAGTGGCTTTTTTGTTGTATAGACTGCTTTTACAAAGCATTTCTGTAGTCCATATACCACACCTTCAAAAGCTCCCTGAAAAATCGAAGTTTTGTCCTGTTGGTGTCCATGTAAACAGGTATTCAGGCTGACTTGGCCAAATTGGTGGCTATAGAAAATCCAGTTAACATTCGTTTCCTGACCCTGCTACTTATTTATCTCCTTATGATTATGAATGGAAATACTTACTGAGCTCTTATTTTGTCATTTATTTAGATTGGATGAAAATAAAAATGCATACTAGTTATCTAATCCTCAAGTATATAGATTTCTTACAAATGGACTTCTTATTCCATCTCTGTCAAAAAATACATTAAGATGTAATTCCAAATCTTGGGGTGACAAATTTTTTTTTTTTTTTGGAATACAGCTTTTTTAACTTACATGGTAAAAGGCATTCTTAACCTCCAGTATTTAAGTAATGATTTTTTTTTCCTTTAGGCATCATTAGGTACAACAAAATATTGCAGTTATTTTCTAAAAAATATGCAGTGTCCAAAACCAGACTGCATGTATCTACATGAACTAGGTGATGAAGCAGCCAGTTTCACAAAAGAAGAAATGCAGGTAAGTCTAATGAATGGGAAACACATGAAACATGGCATGTATGTCTTACTGTCAGTGGTTTAATCTAATATGTGTAGTGTAGCCATTTGCTGAATGTTATGGCAGAAATTAATTTTGAAATCCAAAAGGTGATTAACCAGTTGGATATTGGAAGAGAGCAGTTAGTTCAATTTTTTCGTTGCATGTTGCTTTTAAAGTCTGAAAAGTACGATGAGTATTCATGAGGCAAAAAGGTGGAGATAAAAATCTTAGCCAAGAATTTGAGTAACCTCGCGTTAGCTACTTGCCCTTTTTTCACACCACTACAAGGTAACATGTTATTTCAGATCTTTGTGAAAGAAGTTAGTGCAGATCTGGGTTTTGCTGTAGCATTTGTGTGTGTGAACTGTTACAATGGATTGACTCTTGTACTGTGATGGACCATGCTCTCTGAATTTGGGTATCCTTTTTACTCTGTGAAGTGTATAGAAACCGTTTGCAAATGCAACATTGAGGGTAACTATAATAACATCTAAATAATGATACTGGGCTTCTTTTTATTATCGCAACATCAAAATTCTTATTGTCTGGGGTAGAGAACCGAGTAAATGGATAGATTTACTGTCTCAAAAGCAGTGCATTCTGAGGCCTTTTGGGTCTGCCTCTATCTTTCTGTGGTAAAGCTTTTAAACTCAATCTCAAGCATGCCAGCCTTGCATTTGTGCTGTAATTTTTGCACATAGTCTGTCCATGAAGCAAGGAGTTCCCACCCCTAGTGCCAGCCTAAATATTGTACTAGTAGAATTTATTTGATGTGTTAGGCTGATGTAAGCCAGAGAATAAGGAAGAATGTTATTATCTGTTAAACACTTAGCAGTTATTTATGAGGACTTCAGCTACATTTTAATAAATTAAAAAACTACCTTGCCAGTTCAGATGAATAGTCCCTATGGTATATATTTTGTTGCAGAAAATTGCAATAGAAGGTAAAATTCAAGGACAAGTTGCAAATTAGGCCACCTTCCCTGTTTGTTTCCCTGTATTTCTCCCACCACCTAGATCTGTTATGTTATACATGTTTGAGGGTGTTTTCCTTTCTAGGCTTTTTAGTTTTTTATAGAGCTGTCAGACATGAATTTGTTTAATCCATTTTGAACCTGATACTGTCAACCCTATAGACTTTTGTGGCAGCAAGCCCCAGTTCACCAGCTGTTTTGTAAAGTGCCTTCTTTTGCCTGTGTTAAACTGCTATCCAGTTAGTTTTGTCAAGTTTCCCTTAATATTAACGCAGTAACCTCAGTATCTCTTCTCTGAGCTGTAACAGCCAGTTCACAGATCAGTAGAGGGCTAGTATGGTTTAGACTGCCTCTCCCTTCATGTGTTACCTGACACATTTATAAAGGCAATTAAGTAATGCAAAAAAAGTGAAATATTAGGTGTACCAGTAGTGTGAGAACTTTGAAATCAATACTGAAGAAATGATAGATAATAACTTGCATGTGTCAGACTTAAGATTCAGAAGACCTGACCATAAATCTTGGCACTTGTTTCCTTTGCTAAAGGACATCTTGTAGTATCTGGAAACTGTAGATAAAAGCTGTTGACAACTTCACTTTCACTGTTCTATTTTGCATTGATTGAACTCATAACAATACTTAACTTGCAAGTAATAATTCCTAGGTTTGAGTGTCATAACAACCTACAAAAAACATAAATGCTCGTCTTGAATTTGTTTCAGATGTCACTTTAAATGTGGGCATAGATCTTCTTGGTTTTGTTTTATATATTTAGCCCCAGAATATAATCTGCAAGCTAGACTGAAAAATACTCTCTTCCTTGCCTAATTCTAATATTCTAGAGTTGGATTGGACCTCCTCAATTTCTGAAAGCAAGAAATTGTTCTCAATCGATTCAAAGAATATTTCAATTTTTCAGTTATTAAAAAGAATGATTTATTAGTTATTGCTTAGAATATACTGTTTGTCACATCGTAGTTAACACTCAGACCACCTCAGCTGTTTTATTAAGCTGATAAAAAAAATTAATTCTGTTTTGGAAGAAATTTTGGGTTAAGAGGAACTCTTCATTCCTTCCCATCCTCTGAAAAGCTTGGTAGGGTTGATATATCAAATGCAGACTGCCTTGGAGATATAGCTGTTTGTGAATTTTAAGGTATATTGTGAAGCTCTTAATTAGAACTGAGTATCAAGTTCTAATAAGGTTGTAGCTATTTTTCTTCTTTAGAAGTCTCAGAAATCATAAATTGGTAGGTGCATCCAAGTGATTTCTAGGCAAGCTTTAGATTTGTTGAGATCACATCTGTACTGAGAATGAGAAGCACTGTTTTGAGTTTGACAGGAGTGACCTGTTGAGTAGTGAAAGCTAAATTATTAAGCTTTGGGATATATATATGTATATTGTATATAAAAATATTATAACTATAAAAATATATATTAAACCAGTATTTATTCATTGTGAGTTTCTATTTTCCTAGGCGGGTAAGCACCAGGAATATGAACAGAAACTACTGCAAGAATTATACAAACTAAACCCCAACTTTCTCCAGTTATCTACGGGTACAGTTGACAAGAACAAGAACAAAGTGACAGCACTGCAGAGGTATGATGCGTAAGTACTGATGATGGACTAACTGGCTATGCTTGCTTTCTGGTTATTTGAAAGAAAACTTTCTTATTCCTATTGCATTCCCTAAGTTGCCTGCTCTTTTTAGTGCCTATTATGTGATAAACTCTGATACAGATTTTCTTTGTGGAGGGACATATTGTGGTTTAGGAATGGTATTCTCCAGTTTAGTGTTCCCACTGAAACTACTCCAAACCCATGCACCACTCTCACTTCCCCCTGTCCTCCTGCCCCCTCCCCTTTGGCAGGCTGGAGAGAAGAATTGGAGGCACAAAAGGTGATGATCACAGGTTGAGATAAGAACAATTTACTGGAAACAGCAGTGAAATAAGACAACCAACAGTAACAGCAACAATACTGATGAGAGGGTACAATCATAGAATCAACCGGATTGGAAGAGACCTTCGAGATCATCAAGTCCAACCCTTGATCCAACACCACCGTGGTTACTAGACCATGGCACTAAGTGCCACATCCAGTGTCATCTTAAAAACCTCCAGGGACTGTGAGTCCACCACCTCCCTGCGCAGCCCATTCCAATGTCTAATTGCTCTCTGTAAAAAATGTCTTCCTAATATCCAACCTAAACCTCCCCTGGCAGAGCTTAAGACCGTCTTGTCTTAAGAAAGAGGCAAACAATTCACAAGTGATTGCTCACCCTGCAGAAAACCCCAAGAGTACTTGACCACTCCCGCCATGCAATGTGACCCAGAAGGGACTCCATCCCTATCTCTGGAAAATGAGGTGGTATAAAATAATCTCCAAGTCCTGGCCATGCCCCCTCCTGGCTACTGCAAACATTAACTCTGTCCTGGCTGGAACCAGAACACATGCACCACTTTCTTCTAATATGAAGTGAGTGTGAGGCTTCCTTAGGGAAGATGTGTTTCTGCTGTGTGCGTTTGGATCAGTAGTTCAGAAAAAGATAATCTTATTCTGAAAAAAGATCTCTTGTTTTCTATTTGCAAAAGTGCATAATATTTGCGAAAGACCAGATGTCTTCTTTCTTGGTATGGTGTCGTTATGAACGCAGTCTGTACTCTCATAACTGGGACACCTTGTAGTCTTGATTTCTGTTTTATACATCATGATTTGTAGTGCAGTCCATATATTTTTTCACTATGTTTTAATTGCAGATATCACTTATTCTGGCTTGGTAATATAATGTTCCATTGAAGTAGTTTGTTCAGTAAGTTATGAAAAGATTTCTGTCCATATGAGGATATAGTCACACAAAGATAAATGAAAGTCTAAGGTCACTGGACCTTAATTATTCATTCAAATGTCATATTTCAGACAAAGAAATAAAAACTGTTGACAATTTCCTCCACTCCTTCTTGAAATATTTTTATAGAGATGAAAATCAAAGGAGATGGGCAGAGTGGAATGTGAAATTCAGATTGCACCCGATATGCACCTTGGCCTTGTAATCAGAGTTTATGCTGTGTAGCAGTTTATCCACTGCTGATTTTTTCAGACAGTAGTTTGCCAGTGCATAGCAGCCCAAGCAAGAAAATGGGTACTGGATCTAAAATGTTACCAGTGGAGCTTGAATAAATTCTGAGAACTGGTATCCTACATGGTGTACTGGGATTATCATCTTTAACTTCTGAAGGAAGTGTCATATGCTCTTTGACTGCAAGTGGTCAGGACTTCCAGTTGGATCTTTTTTGTTAAGGACAGTGCCACTTCATATTTCTTGGACACTGGTTCAGTTTGACTTGGAAGGTGAAGTGCAGCAAATAAAGCAAATACACCAGTTCTTGCATTTGGGTATTGATTATTTTATGCTCAAAGTCTGAAATAATTTTAATATGAAACCTCATTAGATCCCAGCAAAACAAATTATACCATCAAGGGAAGAATGCTCTATGTGGAGCTGAAGCAAACTTTTAAACCTTTGGGGAGCAATTAGGAGTTGGAACTTGGCCAGTCTGTGGTGCTAACATTTAGCACTTACGGGAAAAAATGGCATGTTACTCTAAAGGCATCAAGTGGTTTGGAGTTAATTTCTCTTGTCACTGAGCAGCATCATCACAACATGGACTCTGTTCTTTGATAATGGCTAGACACCACGTTTAGGGTTGCAAAGTGAATTTCTTGCAGCTGGGATTTTGACATGTTTCTTCAAGTCCCATCCCATCAGTACAAAATGTAGCTTTTGAACTGGTTGTTCTCTTTCACAGCTTTCTACCCTACTGGGTTCTTGTTTTTGTTTGATTCGTTGGTATGATATTAATATTTCTGGCAGTTTGTCAGAGTTTCTGACAAATCTGTGGTTGTTCTTATGTTTCTGGGGTACAGGATTTGATTCATTCTGGAGTTGAACAGAAATTGAGTTCTAAGTAGCAGATGTTTATAAATATCCAGTAGTAGAAAACAGCTTCTTAAACACTGATAAGTTTTTCTGCAGTTGTCTTCTATTTCGAAAAGTCCTGTTTGCAGACCTTTTCTTTCTGCTAAAGGCAACTGTTGAAATCACCCAGTACCACTTTGTCTATGCTTCTCTTGGTATATCATGTGATAATCATAGTGATTGTGTTCTCTTTCAGTTGGAGATATATTCTACGTTTAAAACAGATCAAGCTTTTTTTATTTTCCTGATGACATTTTCCTAAAGAACTGAAATTAAAGCTTTCTTATGCCACAAGTCAAAGCACTTGTTAAGCACCTGCTGGTCTTTTAGAGAACAGCCCTTGAGAGGCATGTAGCTTTGAACTTAACCAAAACAAAAAAAACGACATGCACAAAACCCCATACCAAAACATAAACCGATTTCTTTGCCTTTCTCCTTGGATGCAAAACTGACTTCTAACTGACATTTTAAAGTTAGTTTTAGTATAGAGATGGCTATATGCATTTATGCACTGCACTGGACCTAAATTTGCATATTTAAAATAAATCTGTTAATGGATTGAAACTCCTGGTATATCTAGATTACAGCTCACCTTTGTATGGGTGAGAATATTAAATTATTGACATTGCGCTTGTGATGTCTTCATTCCTTGATGTTCTATATCGGATCAACTTGATATCTCTTAGTCCAAATGTGTACAAAGCCAAGATGAGATCTGTACCTCAGGTCAAGGCTCTCATCTGTGTACATATTTTATAGGTATATAAGAAAAGAGGGACTCAGAACAGCAAATCTTACATACTAACTGAGATTTGAGGGTCACTAGTACTACTAATTATATCTGAATAGGAGTAGGAAACACTTAGGTTGCTATAAGCAGCTACAGGAATTTCCAGATTCTGATAGTGAAATTACGAAATTGACCCAAAGATGTGGAGTAAACGTTGGACCGTGTAATAAGAACATACTAATGAAGGGCAGCATTAGGAGGGGCATATATGTTATAAAATTTTTTTTGCGAAAGCTTCATCCTTAGACAGCACTTGGACGCTAAAACCAGCTCCTAAGTAAGCAAATGAAAAGCAAAAGTTAATATAAAAACTTAAGAACACAAAAGCAGATCTTTTATAATAAAATTGCAAGGTTAGCAGATAACACTGTATTTGAATGCATTCAGTTATGGATTATATTCCATCTTGCTTCAATTTGTATGGAATATAACAATTTTCAGCAAAACTTGGGCTTGGAGTCCTCTCTTGAACTTCTTTCAGTTCTGATGTGCACTCTGAAATGAACTTTATTTTTACTTTATAAAAAGAAGTAATTATGGCTTTAAACTGGAAATGAAGGGAGCAGTAACTTGAATGAACAGTGTGGTGGTCTGACTGGTCTCATGGTCTGTTAGCAAAGCTGTGGAGTCTTGTGTAGATGTAAAACATAAACTTCATCTGTTGTGGCCAGGCTTGATAGGGCCTGGAATATAAAATGTATCCGAAAAGAAAGATTTAGCTCGTGACTTACAGAACTTAAAAATACTTCAGGGCTAAAGCAAGTAATTCCAAATGAAGTATGCAGAGGTCTGGACACTTGAACTGTTGATGGCTTTTTTTAATTTTTATTTTAATATTTTTTGTCTCCTCCAAATGGACAAGTTTGGACTTCAGCGTTGGCAGAGCAGCTATCTATTCAGCAAAGCAAGCAGAATTCCCTCTGGTTTTCTCTCTACCCTACCTATCCCACTAATTATTTTTTTAAAATTTAAAATCTGAGAAATAATATCCAGATAAATCTATTCTTATAGATTATCTGGCACAAGGATTTATTTCCCCAGTGTTTACAATTTTTAAAACACTTTCTTCATAACTTGAACTCTTTTTTTTTTTATTTTTTTTATTTTACTCTTGCCTTTTTCCAGACCCAACAATAATAACAAAGATGCCTGGCCATCATTACAGAGTTCAAGTAAATCAGCCAACGGTTTAACAATGGAACACAGGAAAACGCCTCCCATATTAGAAAATGGCACAGACCCAGAACACATGACTCCAGATGGTGCAGACTCAGATTTCGGGTAATTGTGCTGCCTTTTATACTTCAGATAGCTTGCTTTCTCTCTCACTGATTGGTGTGGAGGGAATGATTCTTCAGTCTCTCTTTGCTTGGAGACTGGATTCAAATCCTGATCAGGTCACAAAAAGCTGTGCTTAGCATAGCCCATGTCAAAAAGACTGATGGGCAGATTGTGCAGGAGAACCCTAAAATGAAGTTAGTAAGTGATGTTGCAGGTGAGGGCTGAGTGGAATGGAATAACCAGGGGTTCAACAGCTTGTACAGCTGCATGGTCCCAGTCAGAGCTGATCCCTTCATTTTCTTCTATGCAGAAGCTTCCACAAAAGTAACACACTATTCGCTGTACATCAGGAGGCTTGTCACTTGGAAAAGCTTCAATAGAGGGAAGTTAAATGTTAGGGCTGAATATCTGTCATATCCTTACAGTGATGTGTTCCAGAAACATAACTGCAGAGGTAAGGGTTCCCCAATTACCACTCAGTTACAGAACAACAGGGCAGCAAATTCAACTGAGGCTGCTTTGTGTAGAGGAAGTAATTCATCTGCTTTCAGTAAGCTCTTACTGCCAACCAACATTTTTTTTCTTCTTTGGTGCCCTCCTTGAATAGAACTAGTGTCCTCTTCCATCTTAAGCATCACTTGCAGTTCCAATCTTAGTCTATAGTCGTGCTGTTTTGTTTTTTATGGACCCTTGAGGTAATATGGATTAGGCTCATTCAGAGGTTGGATGGGAAAGCAACAAGGTAAACCCTAATATTTCAAGGGATGGTGTTTCTGATTAGGTAGCCGATCTTCATTTTAAATCAATGTTGAACCAATCCATTAACATTGAGAGTGTTGTTGAAAGTGGTACCTTCTTGTTAGGCTTAATGGTAGTCCTGTTGAGGAGTGATCAGAGAGCCTGTGGTTGCGTCTCAGCGATGTACAGCTTCCTTTTTTCCTGAAAATAATGTTTTAACTGTAAGTAAAATTATTGTAGCAGGTTTCCTGAGGGCTGGAAACCTGTCTTGCAACTAAAGGCTCCTTAGGCAGGTTCAAGTATAATAAACACTTCCACCATTTAGATTGTCATTAAAAGTTGTCTCACCACATAGCTTTTGAAACTGCAGCATTGTGACTTTGCTAGGTGTAGGAAAAGAATTTGACTGGAATATCAGCTCTACAATCAGAATTTATTGTGTAATGAAGAGTCTACAGCAAATGTTTTTGCTTTATTCAGAAATTACCAACCAACAGTTTGTTTCAAATAGAAGAACTTTATTCATGCTGTTGGATCACTGAATAGAAAGTATTTGTAAATCTTCACTGGAGAAATGCTCGTTTGCAAGTATATTCTTTGGATTTTTCTTTTATAGTCATAAATACTCCAGCTTCATTTGTCTATTAGAGGTAGACTCAGTCTTTTTCGCAAAAAAAATTGTGGGTAGATTACTCTTACACAGTTTGTTTAGAATGAAGAGGTAGTTCTGCTGGGTTTCGACTAGTCATTTTGGGATGAGGGGAACAAATATGAGGGGAAGCAATCTTACGAATTGTTGGCCTTACTGTATGGCTGTATGCAGTAGCTGAACTTTCCAGCAGTAAGGGGAAAACCAGATGTATGTAAAATCTGAAGTCTGCACCCGGTTAAGAAAAATTGTTACATATATTTGTCTTGTACTAACACATCATGACTGTAATTTGACTTGTATCCCATTGTGACCTCTTAATGGAACTGAAATTAATGTTCTTCTGGTCCTTGTTTATAGGATCTGCGTATTGGTCTGCACAGCCTGATGCTTGTGCATCATCTCTTATGGGTAGATAAAAATGAGAGTACCTTGAAGTTGTAAAGCTAAGATTTTAGTGTGAACTTGAACTAATACCATTTCATTAGTGTGCTATTTAGCATAAATAAGCAAATTCACAGATGCCTGTCAGTATCTTGAATCCTGAGATGTGCCATATCAACCAAGTCATGGTAATCTGCAGTGAATAGCTTTCTGAGGTTGTTTTCTCCTGTATCTTATATTCTCTTTACTTTGGGCAGTTCTTTATGCTATGTATTTTTCCGTTCTGTCATCTCAAAACTCAGTTTTCTTACCTTGGAACTAATTTCTGCTAGTCAAAAGCATAAAGGCTGTTACCACCAGGACTAGTTAATTTAATGTTTTATCTCTCCCCAGATTTATTTAGGACTTGCATGGGAAGTGAAAACTTGCATATTTGGAAAATAAATCTTCCCAAGTTTCTTTCCAATAGTATCATAGATGGAACGGACTATTACAAAATAACTGCCATAGCAGTAGAGTCCTGGGTTTTTGTATGGCATAGAGTTGCTATGAACATGTTCAGAACTTTTCTTTTGTTCCTTTAAGCTGTCAACAAGCAGAGTGGAGAGTGGTGGAAAGAAGTATTACAGTATATGACAAATGATTGGAATGCTTATGATTAAAAAAGCAGTCTAATAAAAAATAAGTGGACTCTTTTCCTTCTTAATTCCTACTTATTAATTTTGCTGTGTTTTTGTTTTAAGGCTTGTCTTCCACTGTAAAAGCAAATGTTGATATTTACGTTAAATACTTGAGTGTCTTATTGTCTTTTTCCCCTCCCACTTTTGCAGCCCTATCGATAAACCTTCAGATTCTCTCAGTATAGGAAATGGTGACAGCTCTCAGCAGGTAAGACATAAAGATAAATGCTGTGAAAGTAACAATTGGGTTTGAGGACTTGGTGCAATTTGTAGTTGGAGAACCAAGTACTTTCTGAAGTATATTATAATTTTAAACAAAATTTAAAAATGCAATTGCAAAATTGATTTTTGTTTGACCTTGTGCTGAGCTATATAGCTAACCTAATTGTGGCCAAAAACTTTGAGGAAATTTTTCATCTGAATTAGTGAAGAATATTTTATATATAACACTCATCCTAATTGCTTGTCTTCCTCTCTTGCCTGTAGATAACAAACAGTGACACACCTTCACCACCTCCTGGTTTAACAAAACCCAATCCAGTTATACCCATCAGTTCATCTAATCACAGTGCACGGTCTCCTTTTGAAGGGGCTGTAACAGAATCACAGTCACTCTTCTCTGACAACTTCCGGCACCCTAATCCCATCCCTAGTGGGCTTCCTCCATTCCCCAGCTCTCCACAGACTTCAAGTGACTGGCCCACAGCACCAGAACCACAGAGCCTCTTCACATCAGGTATGTACACAGGTTATATGGCTGTGTATTGCTTGCTTTTGCAGCTGAGGTTTAAAACTGTGCAGAACCTAAAACTCTGGGACTTGCTCCATACTGTGTTTTCACCCTTCACAAATGGTTAAAATTTGCCACTTAACTACAAATGAATTGCACTGACCTAAGGGTTGCTTCTAAAAGAATCTTTACAGACCTTTCAAGCTGTATGACTAAATTACTAGACTGCTTATTTTAGTTTTTTTTAGCAACATGCCTGTCTAAATTAAATAGGATGTGACATGTATGCTTTAGTATTTAATGTTAAAGGTTTTTATTGAGAGTTAAGAAAATACAGGGTTTAGTATATATCAGTCTGGTAATCTGTAATTCTGATACCAGAAGCTGTTCTGTAGAATTCAGAATTTTCTTTAGTATCCTGTGTAGTTACCTCAAGGTGCCTAATCTTTTTCTGAAGTGATATTCTGTAAATTCAAAAAAGATAAAAATATGGTTAATTGCATCAACTGAAAAATACCTGTATTTTCCAGGTACTTTGCTATGAAATACCACATTATATGAATGAAACACGGGTTTAGGTGTATTTATATAGTCTTGGGAATGGTTACCAGTATTTAAGAGCTTACAAATTATATATCTGAGGGAATTGTTAGAAAATTAAATGAAACATTATCAGTAAAAAATAGAATGTAAATGTTACCTTATGACAGAGTTGGTTTACTTAGTGATTAGTCGTGTTTTGATGTTTATCTTGCTTCTGGATGTCATAATTTGTTTGTAAGAAATATTATTTTTTTTATTATATGTTTGTAAGCAATATTATTACCAAGGGAATTACTTGCTGCTAAAGTACTTTATGTACCAATTTTGTGAGGATTAAGTAGCAATGAAAGACAATTTGCAGGTAGTAGAGATCGTAATTAATATAAAATGATGGTTGCTATTTAAATAAGAATGCAGAGGACAAGTTTTTGTCGATCAAGCAACTCTTTATTGTCATGGATTTTAGAGTAAGAACAGAAGTGTAAATTTCTTTTCTAAGAGAGGCTACTGAACCTACTTAAAGCAGTAGACCAGGTCCCTACCAGCAGAGGGAGTTAATGTTGCGAGTGATACTACCCTTGTACTTAGCTTGCATGACCACAGTTTTGAGGAAAAATACTGTGAAAGTAGACCCAGCATTCACTGAACCTGAATAAGAAAATTAAGAGTATCAGGAAATGAAGTATTAATTGAAAATGCAGGCAATTTCTGATAACCCTTTTTTTTTTTTTTTTTTGCAACACTCTCAAAATATTTAACGGTATCTTGTAATGCAGTTCCTTATTTTTTTTGTTTTATCAATATCTCTGCTCAAGAATTTGGCTTGTTTTCTTCATAATGATAGAGAGTAGGGAATTTTTTGTGGATTTGTTTTGGTTTGGTTTTGGTTTGGTTTTTTAAACCACTGTTCGGAGATTCCTTCTTTTGAGGAGGAACGTCTCCTGCCCACCTTTCTTGCTCGGCTTTCATAGTGAAAGCAAAATACTTAACTGAATAACAGCCTTATTTAAACTCTGCTTGTTCACACTTTCATGAATTAATATGGGTGTAAAGAAGGTTCTAAATGAGTGTATATTGGTGACTTTCTATTTGGTTTTATTACTGAAAATAGCTATTTGATAAGGTTTTTCTGTAGTTCAGGAGCAGAGCATTTCTGCAGTAAAAATACTATTTGCTAGTTCTAACACTTCACCTTTAGTAGAAATCTATGACAGTTTGATCTGAAAATGGCATTCTAAGCTGATGAATAAGGTGTCTTTGGGGAATGTATAAAGAAGTATTATATGAAAGATAACAGACCACAGTCAGATACACAGACTAAAACTTTTATATGGATAAATAGTTACTAATTCTTGTTCTAAATCCTGTTCCTTTCCTCTCTGACAGAAACTATACCAGTATCCTCCTCCACAGACTGGCAAGCAGCTTTTGGGTTTGGTTCCTCCAAACAGCAAGAGGACGACTTAGGGTTTGACCCCTTTGACATCACCCGCAAAGCCTTAGCAGACCTGATTGAGAAGGAACTGTCAGTCCAAGACCAACCTTCCCTTTCGCCCACATCTCTTCAGAACCCTACCCCACACACTACAACTGCCAAAGGGCCAGGCTCTGGATTCCTGCATCCTGCTGCACCCACAAATGCCAACTCTCTCAGTAGCACCTTTCCAGTCATGCCACAGAGGTTCCCACAGTTTCAGCAACATCGAGCAGTTTACAACTCCTTCAGTTTTCCAGGCCAAGCAGCTCGCTATCCTTGGATGGCCTTCCCACGCAATAGCATCATGCACTTGAACCACACAGCAAATCCCACCTCAAATAGTAATTTCTTGGACTTGAATCTCCCACCACAACACAGCACAGGTCTGGGAGGGATCCCTATATCAGGTAGGTGAATTGGGACAGCCATAAATATGACTTAATTCATGCTCTTCAGCTTCTCTGAGCCAGGACAGAAAAAGAGTGTAGTCAGCTACAATCGGTAGAGTGGTATCTCTTGACTATCGTACTAGGTTTATGAACAGGGGGAGGAATATTGTTTTAAATAGACCCTTTCCATTAAAAAAAAAAGGTAACTGGATATTTAGCCTTGTAATATTGAGCTTTATAAGGAAGGTGGAGTATTCTGTGCCCGCTTAATTTTGTGCCAAAGCAGATTGGTATTTTGGTTCTTCAGTCTTGCCAGACTGGCTTTCCTTAAGAATAGGCCCTGGAATCGCATTGTGACTTTCTTGTTGACATGCAGGTGCTGACCAGAGTTCTTAAAGTCGTGCAAAAAATTGCAATGATGGTAATTTGTGCCAGATGTCTTGGCTGGGTTGTTCCCTCTTGTGCATAACCAAATGGCTGCACAATAAAACATTCAGTGCTGCTCATTTCTGTACTTCAGATGGCCTTAATATTACACTAATCTTCCACTGAATGGATGCTTGCAATGTGTGTAAGAGGATTCATCCTAATTGTGAGGGTTGTGATGTTGGAGAAAAATAAATGTGCAGTCAGGCCAGTTCAGGCTGCTCTGAATGGATTAATAGGCTCTTGCATCAAATGTTACAACTAAGGAGCTAATTGTAACAATAATTGTCTTGATTAAAAATTCACTTCTGGAGTTTGAAGTCCTTCCATGTTTCCGATTTTAACTTGGCCTACACAGATTCTCTTTTTGTAACAGGGGAAGAAATTGTATTAAATGTATAATGAACTGCATGTAGAAAGTCTCTTAGCTCTTTGTAGTCTTGAGATGGAGAAAACTGTTTCTTGAGATGTTGCCAGCATTATTTTCCTTTCCGGGTTTTAGGAGTACTGGCTATACTATAAGAAAGTGACATAGAAAAAGTCATTGTGTGTTTTTGGTGCTCTAGTACAAGGCTAATTTTGACTATTACTTTCCTGTACTTTGTCCTCTTTGAAGGCTTGTCGTAGCTACATGACTGCTGTAGGGTCTTCAGGCTGATTCAAAGTATAAACATGGTCTGGACTACAAATGCAAGTAGTTCAAAACTCTTTATACTGGCAATGACAAATTTTTAAGCCTAAAATGACTGATACTGGTTGCGCTAAAAAAAAAAAGTTATTCTTGGCATGGAGTAAAACCTGCAGCATCCATAGCTGCAATGTGCAATGTTGCTCACTTTCCCCTAAACTACATAGAACTTCCAGAAGCACAGCAAGACATCGTTTCAACTCTACCACTCTGTTCTAAACACTTACAGTTTGAGGGACCAATTACAAGACTATCTTATGGACTAAGGGGACCAGAAAAATCCTTTAGCGTTGAAAAAATCTGTTCATAGTACAGATTGATTCTAGGTTTGCAAAAGTATTGCATTACTTTAATGGCAACTGACAGTTTGAAAGTAGACCTTTTTGTATTTGTAGAAGACTTGTAGATCTTTTTGTACAACTTCTGAAGAGCAAGTTGTGTGGTGTTGATTGATGTACAGCCCAGGCTGTGTACTTCCCCCATATGTTTTAAGGCAATAGAATAGATTTTTAATTATGTTGGTTTTTGTATGCAACTGCTAGAACCAATTGATCTCAAAATATTTTTGGCAAATACAGTGCTAAAAGCAAAGTAAACATCTGCTTTAGTTTCTATGGCAAGTTCCTTTGAGTTGGTTTTCATCTCTTGCTATAGAAAACATTGTTAGTTGCCTGGCTGACAATTATATAGCAGCAGTTGCTGCAGCACAAACACTTCTCAGGTGATCTACGTGTCAGCTTTGATATATCTTGAAAAAAAGAGTCATTTGTACAAACTTAGATTACTCCTTTTTCTTTTCCTGCTGCCAAAAATCAGCTGAACTCTCGTAGTTCTGGTTTTGTTTGCTGGGTTATGGATTTGTATTATTTAGTGCCTAGGGCTTTCTTTACTGACCTATCTGCTTGAGATGTACAAATAATTTAAAAGTCAGGAGATGACCTCATACCTCTTTTTTTGTGTACTGACTTAATAGTTTTCAATTTATTGATTATTCTGTCTTTTCTCATCTGTATCTAGTGTACAGGTCTCTCAACGAATTGATTTTGTATTCCTTTTGAAAAAATAATTCCTGTTTTTGTTTGTTTTTAATCTTATCAGTATCAAGTATATAATTACAGAATTTTCCTGGTTTCCTCATTTGATTTACAAGTACAGGTGTCTGATGGGGTTGGAAGTATGAAACTTTATTACAGTGCTTTATAACTAACTCTAGCTGACCTGCTAGAAAGGCAGTGCATATCATAACAGCTATTTAGCAGTATGGAGCAATTAGTTGTAGCACACCTGAAGCTCCTTTTTCTTGGCTCTTTTGTTAGTCCATGTTTTAGTAAGTGTCATCAATTCAGCCATTTCAGATGTAACAGCAAAAGAAACCAAGAAATACATGTGTATGACATGTTGAATGTAATTTGCTGAAGTTACCTTTTGTTTATTTGAGAATCAGAGCTGTGCTGTATTCATAACCTCACAGCTCCAGGTAGGGCTGTTCTGTGATGTATACCAAATTTAAATGGCAGGACACAGGCACTACCTACATTCCCTTTTTTTTTTTTAAGCTAATTTAAAAATAATTTTCATGTGGAGTTTAGTTGCCTATTTCTCAGAAGTAGTATTTATTAACTAATTCTGTGGTTTCCAATGAAATGACCCAATTGACTTCATAGTTTTATTATACATATACTTCAAATGTGTTGCATTCATCAGGCATACATTTGTCTCCAGCCTATGTTTAAATGAACTCTTTGATTGACTGATTGATTCCCAGAGTAGCATTTTTTTTCCTCCCCCTACAGTACCATTTTGCAAACTGTAGCAGATGTTACATGTTGTCATTTTCAGGGGCAGTTGAGGCTTATTGCTGCTCTGTGGTGTGGGATTGATTAGATGATTTACTGTGTAATTATAACTGTGTAACTGTGCTTCAGGAGAAAAGTTCAGTGACTTCTTCATGGGCAGTGTGTTTCTTGCTGAAAGAAATCTTACCCTAGATTGTATGCAAGCTATCCTAAGAATATGGACAGCCGCTATTCTTTGTTCCACAGATAATGCCAAAGGAAAGATTGATTCACTGACAGCAGCGTGGGTGGGTGTGTGCCTTTATTTTTATGTTACTGTAGGATAACAGGAAACTCTTTGTAATTCTATCACTAAAACACTATCATCTTTGCTACCCTACTGCCTGGTGGGGTGTTCAAAAATAATAGGTATAGTATGAGATCATAAAGTAGGTTTCAGATTAACAGTGTATTTTGAGACAGGTGCTTTATAAAATGAGATGTGTGCCTATTAATGTGAAAATAGAAATGTATAATTTTATTTCTGGAGTTTACTGAGTGGTTGGTAGTCATTGATTTTGTTACATAGAAAATGCATAGGACCAAATTCACAGAGTTAAAAGTATTAGGAAAAAGTTGTCCACCTTTCCTGTAAGTTCTATGCAGGATGAAGTACTTCACATTTTGAAACACTGGCTATTATTTCATTTATTACTTTCATAGTTATCCTCAACATAATTCCAAATGAGCAAAAACTTAACTGTAGGCACTTATATATTCAATAATAATTGAGACAGTTCGAACTCTTCCAAGACTAATGTTACGCAGTAATGTGTATCTATTCTTCCCAAATAAATCATTGAAACCACTGAGTTGGAAGAGACCCACAAGTTCATCAAGTCCAATTTCTGACTCTGCACAGGGCAGCCTAAAAATTAAACCATACATCTTGAAGCATTGTCCAAATGCTTTTTTTAAGCAAAGGCAATTTATATATATCATACATACATTAGAAATCTAAATAGAGGAAATAGTCAAGTGTACACAGAGACAGATAGGAAGCATAAAGAATTAAACCCTGTCTAGGAGAGGGGAAGAAAACAGTTTTACCCATTGTCCTTGAAGATAACCACTGTAAAATTTGTCATGATACTTTAGCCATGAAGCTGACTGATGTGGAGATCGCAGCAGGTTTCTGTGAGCTGTTCCTGAAACTTCAAAACAGGGGGCTTGAATATAAGTCCATGTAGTAGAATATAATGATGAATCAAAATTTTATTCTTTCAAGAACTTTTAGTTTTGGTGTTGTGGCTTGTATCTGTTGAATGTGTACAGCCTAATTGATGGTATTACATGTATTTAAAGATGAGATGATAAACAGTTAGATAGCTCTATTAATTTTGGGTGCCACCCAGCAGTGTTTGTGGTAGTGGTGTTGCATTCCTTATCAGGATACTGATTAGCATGCACGTTTTCAAGTCACGGCTGCATTTAGGTTTTTGTGAAGCAGTGGCTGGTAGCAGGGAGGACAAAGCAATGAAGGTTTTATTAAGCAAGTCTAACTTCTTCCCACTATTTTACGCCCTGAGCTCTTCCATTCCTAAAAAATCTATGGTGTTGCATCTCCTGCTTTAAATCTTCTGGCCTCTATACCCCCAGCTATTGAATGTAAACACCAAATCCTTTCTTGCCTAGTAATACCTTTTGGACAACATTTTAGTAATACAAGGGAAGATCCCTGTATGTTGGCTATGGTCATATTATTTAAAGACTTTATTTAGAGCACAAAAAAGGATGAGATGGCAGAATTAGTGTTAACATGCTTTCCCTATAATACTAAGAGTCATTGTCTGACTTCGTATTTTCTCATAATATAACTGCATTTCTGTTTGAGGCACACATTTCTTATCTGGTTTGGTCTTTTTGACTTTGTCTTCTCTCTCTGGGTTGATTCTATCTCCTGAACAAAAAAAAAACAAACAAAAAAACCCACCAAAAAACCAAAAACAAACAAACAAACAAAAAAAACCCCACCCCAAAAACCCACAAAAAAAATCCCCCAACCACCCCATGCCTTGGTTTTGTGCAAGACTGGGGAAAAAAAAAAAAGGAATTTGTGGCATAGCAGC